AATAGGGGATAGGCTGGCTGGTGGGAACAGGAGAGAACATCAAAATGTGGGATGATGCTTGGCTTTCTACATCGACCCCCATGAAACCATACGGCCCCCCTCCCTTTGGCTCAAGAAATATGAAAGTGGCTGATCTGATACATGGAAGTACCAATACTTGGAATGTTGAAGCCATACGAAACCACTTACCTCAATATGAGAATATCATTACAAGCATCGAACTTAGCTCATTTTCTATGGCTGATTCGATGGCTTGGCTACCTGTCAAATCAAGGACTTATTCTACAAAATCGGGTTATGCTCTCACAAAACTTAATAACACGTCGGTATCACCTGAGATTTTCGACTGGAAAGTGTGTGTTTGGAAGGTAAAAACAGCACCTAAGTTGAAGACTTTTCTGTGGAAATTGAAGAACAAAGCACTACTTGTGGGTCATAACCTCTTGACACGCGGAGTCTCAGATGTGAAACGGTGTAAGTATCGCGATGCTAATGAAGATGAAATGCATATTATCCTGTTTTGTCCCTTTGCAATCAAGACTTGGGAGCTGGCACCGATATTGTTCAAGCCAGATTGTAGTGTGCCGTGTACTATGAATCTATTTCTTGATGCAGCACGTCGACACGTCAACTTACCTCCAACAGGCATTACCGACTCTCCTCTGTTTCCTTGGTTGACTTGGAATTTATGGAAAGCGAGGAACTTGTTAATGTTTGAGAATCGACAAATCACAGCGGAAGATGTAGTTTTAAAGTCGATCAAGGAAACACGCTCTTGGCAAGAGGCTCAACAGCTACGTCGAGAGCCGAGCAGAACTCATCCGACTCCTCGACCTACATCTATATCTCCGCAAGCAGTCCTCTATTTTACCGATGCCGCTTGGAAAGCTGCATCACGGGACTGTGGAATAGGATGGTGCTTCAAGGATGCAAGTCTAAATATCATTGGCCAATCCTCCTCCTCCAAAAGGAACGTGACGTCGGCCTTGATTGCAGAAGCCTTAGCTTTGAAAACTGCTTTAATTGCAGCTAGGACCGAGGGCTTCCGAGTACTCAACTGCTTCTCGGACTCTCTCTCGCTGGTTACACTCATCAACACGAATAGTGTGATCAACGAGCTGAAATCTCTCCTCTTTGACATTCAATGCCTTAAGGAAGATTTTACCTCTATCTCATTTACTTTTATCTCTCGCTCGGACAACTCTTTAGCCGATGCTTTAGCTAAACTTGGTATTGTATTTGTAAACCTTCCCTCCTAATTTGGAGTTCTACGATTATAATACGAATAGGTTTGATAAAAAAAAAACTAATATTAATCTAATTCGAAATGTGAGTAAGAAATCAAACGCACCTTTTCGAGTTCTCTTTTAACTCGCATCCTCTTCATCACCTTCTCCACATCATAATTCGATTCATCCGCGAGTCAAGCCTTTGAATTCGATTCATCCGCGAGTCATGAATCGTTTGTTCAAATTGGTTCAAATTAATTAATTTTTTTTTCTTTTCGAATGGGTTCGTTTGTTATTTAGTTTTTTTTCTTTATATAAAAACTCTAGATTTGTTGAATGTTGATTTTCTTTATGTGAGGATGTTATTCTTTTCGTCGTTTATTAAGTTTCTAATTGTTGCTCTGTAACGTCTGAGATCAGAGCGGATACGGCGTGTGTTTTAGATTAGCATGGCGCACATCTCGACTTCAGCTCCTTTGCCAATTTCGAATCTCTTGATAAAGTCTAAAGACTTTCGAATTTCGAATCACTTTTTCGATATGTTGTGTTGATAACTTGATATGTTGCAAATCAACACTTATGTTGCGAAATCCAGCATAAATCTTTCATGTATTAGGGAATATGGAGTGAGATGTTGACGAAACCGTGGTTCAGACAATAGTGTTAACGTGGATGCTATGCTATGCAAAATAAATTAGGCCAAAGAGGTGAGTCAAAAATTTACAATCATATTAACCGATATGTTTTTTCTTAAAGATGAGCTGCGCATCCTCCCTGGAGCCCCTGACCCGAATCAACACAGAATTGTATGGTTCAGTACGATGAATAATTGACACGGAACTGCATATGTTATCTTCAATTGCGTCGACCAGTACGTAGTCAAAAGCAACGTGAACTTTGGGAAACAACTTTTCTAATTGACAATTACAGTAGTAATACTTTATATACAATGAAAATATAATTTCGTCTCCACACAAATTTGTACATGAAATCAAATATAATTAATTACAAGATAAGTGAGAGAGAAGAAACAGTAACAAACCATAATCGATAGGCGATGAAAGCGTTTTTACGTTTCTTTCACTTATTTTTGTAGGATAAGTGCTGCTCC